CATAAAGGTAATTAAAGTGTTAAATTCACAAGCAAGTTTCTAGTGCCAGTTTAGGCTCAAACGTCTTATCACGCTAGCAAAACAAGAATAATAAAATACTAATGATGATTCGAGTAAATCTAAGAGTTGGTCAACGGTCGCTGCCAAAAGCTGGAATTAGTCTTAAAATCCACTTCGTAACTTGAACTCGGATTTCTACATCGATATCGACGCCGGTCGCTGCGCTTTCTTTTTCTTCACTGTTTTGCCTTCGCTACTAGCCCTCCTTTTCGTTGTAGAGTTCCCCCGCCATGGTCGGTAGCGTTTGGAAACGAAAGGTCAAACAGCTTTTAAAGTTTCAGAGAAGAAACATGTTAATAAACATAACGTAAATATATTCCTGGAAGTTGGGACAAAAAACAAGGAAAAATTTTATATAATTTTATTTAAACTTAAGCATAATCAACAGAAACGTTTATATTCCTGGACACAAACAAAAAATGTTTACAACGAGAAAAAATATTTAATGATACACTGCTTAATTAAGACACAATAACATGCCGAACAAATACTAATTCAGAAGTCAAACAACAAAAATCAGCGTTATATTTTCAAATTTTCACAGGACTATTTTCAATGGTTTTACCGAGCCACCACCGTCAGCTGCAAAAGCGCATCCTTCTGAAAAGAAAAGATAATTAAAATTTTATACCTCTCACTCAGACTTGTCATTAATTTTGCAATCCAATTTTCACCTAATTCTAATAATAATTAATAAAATTTATCTCAAATACTAAAATATTTTTTATTATGGAATATTGATAGCAACTGTGAAGTTGTTCCTGCACCACTACAAGCAACTTAAGTTATAAATCTACCTTACCATCTTATCTCGTCGCAGCGCTTCAATAAACACATCGACACAATAAAGGACACTTTGCAGCAATTAAGGAGGAATCACATTCGCAATACCAAATGCAGACAAAGTGTTAAATAAAAACCTCTGCGCAGAAGCAATTTTCCCGATGCTGAGAATTAGCATTCGATGCTTAGCAGCTAATTATCTAATTGTTAAATCATTATTGTCCATTAGTTAGTGGGCCGGGTGAAAGCCACTCAAAGGTTGGATATGGCTCAAGGGCCCTGGATTGCCGACCTCTTCCTTAGGCTCTCGTTCTTGCGTTAGGCTGATTTTCTGGGCCTCTCGCCAGAGACCTAAGCGCACTCTCTTTTTGCACTAACTTCTCTCTGGCTTGATTTATAAGCGATAGACCTGGGTGACTTTCTTCCTTAGGCTATTGTTGCGGTAGGCTTATTCTCTGCCTTGAGCGGCTGAGACCTACGCGCATTCTATTTTTGCACTAACTTCTCACTGGCTTGATTTATAAGCGATAGGCCTGAGTGACTTTCTTCAGCGACTGCCCCTAAAATCTTTTTAATTAATTGTGTGTTTTCTTGTCAATAGTAAGGTTTGCACCGATCTACATTTGCCATGATTGCAGCTCTATCTTTTCCTCTGACGTAAACTACTTTTACCAGCTTCTCCAGAAACGGGAGCCTTCGAATTTAGGACAAAGCATTCCAGTCCTACCCTTCGGTGTTGAAGATAGCGAATGCTTGATTTTCGACACCTTATCTTTGAAATTTTTCTCAAGCCTTTTCGTATCACAGTAGACGCACGACCTTTATCCGAATTACTGAATTTACAAAATATGTTTCATTTAATGAAATTATTTTAGAATAAACTCTCAAGCCCAACGTAGATAATTTTAAAATTAGGAAGCACAGGAAATTTGATGTTTACTCAGCATAAGAAATGTTGCGCTTTTTCAATGGTATAATTTGCGGTCGTAGCAGTTACACTGAAATATTATCCGCTTAAGCTGATTAAGCCATTTATATTCTATAATCATCTTTATTGGTAACATTGCTATTAAATATTATTCATAATTAATTTAGGAACTCTTTAGATCATTAAGTATTCCTACAATGTTGAAGTGAAGATGGAATTTAAACTGCGGTCAATTTTAATTTTGCCTAAGAAAATGAACCACTTTTCTTCGGATTCCTTTCTTTAAAAAAGTAAAATAAATTGCTTCTAGCAATGAAAGTGTAGCGTCATAAAATCTCTCTGCATAAGCACTTTTTCCCACATTGGCATACCACCGTATACTTAATAATCAGCAGATTCGTTCGCTGAGACGTTTTCAGAAAAGAGTTTAATTTTTTTCTCCGAAGTTGTTGATGAAATGAGTTTTCAAAATCTATCATAAATACGTAATTTAGTTTTAATCGTTTTTCTTAATAAAAAACTGCATTAGTTCCAGTCTTTCTAATAGCATTTAATTGCTGTGGTTTGAGAAAGTAATGGGGAATAGCTAGAGAAATAATCAAGATGAGCTATCAAATGTCTAAACCATTTCTAAAACAATAACTGGAATTGCATTTATTTTAAGATATCAGCATAATTCCAAGCAGTTGTTATTTTATTTACTTATTTTTGTCATCAATTTGTTAACATTATTTTATTTAAACGTTTTATGCGCCATTCTTTAAAACTGCAAAATGTACTTATTAATCATAATTACTAATCCCTGCAACTAGCTTAATTTTTCTCTAAAATATTTAACTCTTAACTTTATTAGACATAGATAAGGAGTGTGCTTAGAAATTTAAAAAGAAAATTTTAAAGGTAAAAATGAAAATAAAGGAAAGGAAACCGCTTCGAGATTGTTATATATCTTTTATAGTTGCAGTATTTATGTACAGAAAAAAAATAAAAACATATACATGTTATTGAGATAAATACATAAGACAAAATGGAAATATTGTATTACGAAATGTACTTATAAATCAAATGTGAAATACTGTCTGTCGCCACATATCTTGAGCCCCATTTCTCAGTGCATTTATCTTTGGAATCATCAAAATAATAGATATGTCATCTCAAATTCCTATTATGGAACAAATTGTGTCGTAAATTTGGACTGTTTAATATATATACAAATACATAATCTACAAACTGGTATATCAGATTACGATTTGTCAGAAATAAGATAAAAGTCTTCTGAAGCAAAGGGGAAAGAAGCGAATTTATTTCAGATTTTCACCAATAAATGGCGCAGTACACTAGCGGTCGTCAACCCTTAGAACTTCACGGACCATTACATATATAATTTTATACTTGACGGACCACTAATATGAATTAAAAATACAGTTATATATTAATAATCAGCAAACCACACATATTTCGTTCACATTGAAAAATTACATGAAAAGTACAAAAATCTTCCCTTCTTGTATAGAAAGCTTCACATTTCCATATCACTGAAAAGGAAGTTAACGAAAAGCAAGAACAAACCGGAAAACGCAAAGCAATATCAATAAACTGACAGTGTTATTCCCCCAATTTTAAATTATTGTAAACATAATAATCATACCTTAATCCGCAATGGCGTCATCAATCAACAGTTAGACAAAACAAAAACGGAAAATTCAGTGATGCAATTATAAACAAGAATGCATAATCCGTCAAGATGCCTATCCTAGAAGCCACTCCCTCGATGGCTACATAGATGTGCACTTGTGGAATATGCGTCCCGTATAGTTCTGTATGCAAGATGCATGAAAGTTAATTCTTCATTTGCATAACTGGCTATCTTACTGAGCTGTGAACGTATCGTGAATATTGGTTTCCTGCTTGTCTTCAGGAGCCCGTACACCAAACACTATCTTCAAAACGAAGAAGACATTTTCTACCCTCCATGGCTGATTCGTTCTTTGAACAGTCTACCTTTCCCAGATGTTTCTGTATGCTGTACTGAAACACAATGTTCATTTTATGTGTTTTAACCTGAGAAACCACAAAAACCACATTATAACCACATTTTAAATAAGTTGACTGCATAGAACGCTTATTAAATGAAAACGTCATATGACTGTATTAAGTGATATCCCGTATCCCTTTTAAAAAGTATTATGATGTCTCTCACTACTCTTTCTTTCGAAACAAAGGATTCCTTCAGTTTCAGTTATCGAAAAGGTAAGAAGTGGCAAGTCTGTTTGTGTGTGCAGAAATTCTATTTTAATTATTGTATTAAAATTATAATTTTATTCCCTAATATTTTCATGATTAATTAAAAATAATATTTAAACACACGTAAATTTGAATCTTTTTAAGATATTGCAAAATATATCACTTGTTATTTACTCATATGTACCACTTCACTACAGTTAACTTTACTCGTATTTACCGCTTTGCATTGTTTAGTTAAATACTAAGGAAATCCTGTCAAACTGACCAAATAAATTTTCTGCAAATATTCAGAAATTTTTAATATTGAAATCCGGTCATTTAAGTCCAAAAGCTTCGAAATACATGGTAATTTATTCATTATCTTCTAATATTATGACGAATGTTGCTTTGCAGCATCAAATTATCTCTAGGCTGTTTAAAGGACCAATATTAACAGAAATATTTTTCGTCTAGCTATATTAACGAGAAGATTAATTTTCCGTTAAAAAAATGTTATTCTTCAAAAAATATTGAGGGCATCATAATTTGTTTTCACACTTTCAGTTATACACCCGTCTTGAATATATTATAAGCCAGAAGGTACAAAGTTCTCTACTCGAAAGCCAATAGCGCTTTATGAAGAGACGTTTGAAGGTTTTCAGATGTATACTTGTTTCAGAGTCCTATCGTAGCCATTTCTATTCTTAGACACAGAATTAGTCCATAATTCTTAGACACAGGTTTCTATTTAAGACGATGTGCTTGCTTCTGACGTTCATCTAAATAATTCTTAAATTAGTTATTACTAACGATCTAATTCTCAATAGCTAATCATGATTCCATTCAATCAGCGATCATTGATTCGATCAGCAATTTTCTTCTTATTGAAATATTATACGTTATTTCTTTATTAAAGTCCTCTAGTAAAGTTTAATTATATAATCTCGTGCTATTTGCCTAACTTATGTCATTTCTTCAATTTTTGATTTGTTTTTGTTTAAAATAGGTGCTCCTCAATTTCAGTCTAAATTTAAAGTACTTGGAGCTAGGAGAGGAGAAAGAACAATCATTGAGTGCAGTTCTTATGGTAACAGACCAATGACTTTTATTTGGCGAAGGCAAGGTGTTATTATAGAGCCAATAACAGAGCCAAGGTAAGTGTGATTAAGTTTTCTGATGTTTTGAAAATGGCTAATTGAAGATTTTATTGATTTTATTAATAAAAGTTAAGATTTTCAATTTCATTGATCTTCACGACACAAGCCAAAAACTTTTAAGACTTTCTTTGGACTGTAGGCAGTTACATTTTATTCATTTAGAAGTCTGCGAAAGAGAAAGGCATAATCTGAGCTGGTCTAATGTAAATAGAACTTATGGCCTTAGTTTCAGACAACTAAATATAGTAACACACTAATACAGATTGTTATGGCAAATGGACCTAAAGCTCATCACATAGAATATAAATTCTCAAAATTCTATTATATAAGACCAAAGATCATGATAAGATTTCAGTAAAATAAGAAAGAATATCTTAAAGTCTTCTAATCTATTTCGATTTGAAAGCAGCAATATCTATTGCAAATCCCCAGACAAAGAGTCTCATTACAGAAATGATTAAAGTAGTACTTCTGAAAATAATAGGCATTCAAGTCTAAATTCGAAAAGAAATAATTTCATGTCAAAAATATTCTACAGACTGAAGGGAAAGAACTGCATTTTGGTTTTTATAACTCCTTTTAAAGACATCTCATCCGACATTTAAAGCTGAAATAGAAAACATACATGATACTCTAGGAAACTTATATCTTCGTAAGTCAGTTATAGTACACGAAAAGCGAAAGCTTGTTTCATTGGCGCAATGAAAGCTGCAGATGCAGTTTTGTAGGAAGGAGTTAATAGAGATTCATGTTTTTTTAATGACAGAATTATGATATGAACAAAACGTAAATTAAAGCTTCGCCTTATCATTAATCAATTAATATAATTGTAATGAACTTAAGTAACATTACGACATAGAAGAATGCGAATAATATGATTTTAAGTCTTTCTGTCTTTTCCGGTATTTGAAATGAAGTGCTAAGCAAAGCTTTCAAGAAGGTACTGATGAAAAGCTGCCACTGAATACTTCAGTGTCAGTTATATATAAAAACCGTGGAAGTACTTGTTTTCAATAGTTTTCCCAACTTTTGAAGCAAAATTATTGCTATAATTAAAAACTTTTGTGTCAAGTATATATAACTGCTGCGTTTCTAAATTTTCTATACGATTCTACATAGTTTGTAAAGGATATTTTTCCTTTATGCGTATATGTCAATGATACATAGAAAATGTATCCGCGTACTTGGATAAATAAATGTTCTGCTTAATGTGCTTCTTTTGATACTTGTAAAAGAGATGAAATTTGACTAACGAGACGAAATGAAATGTGACTTTTAAGAGTTGATGCGATCGATATTATATTTATTGATTAAGATTATTGACAGACCGAACAATCATTAATTTAGAAGTCAAACAAAAAAATCAGCGTTATATTTGCTAATTTTCACAGGAATTACACTTTTCGATGGTTTTCCGACTCGTTCGATGACTGATTTTTGTTGTTTGATTTCTAACTTAATAATTTATTGATTAATTAACAATACATTAACTCTATAGTCATTGTTTCTCACTTTGAATTTTAAGCGTTTTCGATTTTTCTTCTTATCATACTTTATATATTATTTCAGACAGAAATATGACAGTGTATTAGAAAAAACATGATTTAAAAAATAATGGCATTTCCTAATAATCTCTTAAAATTGTGATTACTCTATCGATTAACACTGCGAAATAAAAGGGACAGTTCGATATCTCCCGTTCTACTATACCGATTGACGAAATTCAAATTGCGTTTATCATGTCTCAAAAGTGCGACTTAAGATATATATTAGATTTATACATAGCAATGATCTAATATAGGTATTTTGACACAAAATCGGACTTTTTCTTAAATGACATGCCATTTTTTTCCTTATTTCGATTCTATGAATCAAATTATGCCTAAATATTTTAATTACTTTGTAAAATTGTGTGCGAAACTTATGAAGAAATTTAAAAATTTACCTTTGCGCACATTTACCAGTTTGCGACAAAATTCACTTGGCGAACTTCTTAATTTATAGCAACCTATTCTCCTTTTTTTTTACTTCCTTGTATTTCAATGCTAAATATTCATTTTGAAAACTATCCAATGCAATTTAACGATGTTTTTGCATAGTATCTGTACGTAAGGACAGAATAAAAGACTCGTTTCCTCCAAAAAAATTATAAACCGCTTTAAAATTAATTCTGAAGATAATTTTTTGTGGCGTCTGTACGAACGTTTGTACGTACGTGTGTACGTACGTATCTCGCATAACTCAAAAACGAGTAGCCTCAGAACGTTGAAATTTTGTCTATAGGATGTAGATGTGCACCTCGTATTTTGGTTGCAATCGGCCGCACCAAACATATATAAATATATTTATATATGAGAAGAGAAATAGTAGTTATATATCCATCTGTTACCTACCCGGCTCAGTGATCTCAGTTTCTTTACTCTTACATGTTTCTAAATTGTACATTTTTTGCTTTAAAAATGATTAAATTATGTTGTTTTTATTTTCCGGTTAAGTTTTTTATGCCTTTAGTAAATCTGTATGCAATATTTTTAGAATTATCAACAATTTTAAAGTTGTTTAAGTGCCGCTAAGCCTTTTCTTGATGTCGGCCATTTATTCTTTACATTTGAAACAGCAGACTAGTGGATTTGTTGCCAATCTAGAGAAACTTAGCTTCGCAACAACAAAGATAACGCCTTCATTTATTATTGCCAATTAAATCATGCTTAATCCTTTCTGGAATTTTTTCGAGGAAGTAAGTGTTTAAGATTTACTTCGTAATTTTTAATATAGATATTTAGAGATTTTATGTATTTTTGCCTTCTCGCGAAGTGAGAACTGAATTAATTGAATGAGAAATACTCAATCGTCTGTGAAAAACTGTTTCTTTTCTGTTTTGTTTGCTTAATTTCTTTTATACAGTTTTATACAGTTTGTTTTCTTAATTTCTAGCTTTATTATAGTATTTGAATAGAACATGTGGCAACGATTAGATAATTCTATTCTTTAAATCATATAAATTTTGTACATTATGAGTTATAATATGAACGAAATATAATACTATTAAGTGAATCTAGCGCCAGAGTGTCGCTATGATAAACAAATACTAGAGTGAATTTTAAAGAATGCATTTATTCTATTGTGGTTTATGCGCTGTCGGCGAAGTAGATTTAATTCAATCCAATAAATTTAAATGAAATACAAGAAAAAATGCGTATAATTTAATATTCCGTACAAGGAAGTCATGTGATGTACTAATCAGATTTTTTTTCATTGTAAACGAGCCGGAAAAAAATAATAGTTTTCACTATTTAAAATAATTTTAACAAAGTGCGTAAACCACATTTTGCATTACTACTGCTTATAAAAAATATGACAAATTTAAAAGCGCGCGAAAGTGTAAATTCACGTATATCCTAGGAAATTTTCAATAAAAAACCTTAATTTTTTGCAGGTATACTTCAAAAATACATCTACTTTAAGATGATGGCAAAAATTTTATAGGTTATAATTCAAATGGGTTTTTGAAAAATTTATACAAATTATTTAAAAATACAAATTTTAAAAATAAATCATAAAAAATAGGTGAATTATATTTGGAATGAACTTAAATTTCGAATTCTGGAAGAAGTAATCAAGTAAGTTTAATAATAAAGAGATATCAATAAATATATATCAAATTAATTTAACATTGAGGAATTAACATTTTGAAAGCTAATTTTTTAAAAACTACTCGCATAATTTTTACAAAACTTGTTGAGTTTGGCATAATTTGAGTCGCAGAATCGGAATATGGAAGAAAATTGCTAATTGATTTCAGGAAAACTCCGATTTTGTGTCAAAATACCTGTATTAGAATAATGCTGTATATAAATCTAATATATATATCCTAAGTCGCGTTTTCGAGTCATGAAAAACGCAAGTTGAATTTTGTGTATCGGCCCAGTAGAACGGGAAATACAGAACTGTCCTTATTTTTCCCGCCGTGTACGAGAGTGCATATTTATGTGTAAAAAATAAGCTTTATAAGGTATTTTATTAATTAGCCAATTATTATTATTTAAAAATTTACTGCAACTTCTTTTTTCCATAGTCTTCATTCGTTTGTCTGAGTTGTTGTAAGAGGAAGTTGAGGCTTCAGGCAGCCTCAACTTCCTCTTACTAAATAACGTTAACTTTGTCGAGATTTATTCCGGCTTTAATATATTGCTTGCTTGCCTTTAAGTAAATGTCTTGGCCAGTTTGAGTAGTTTGTTTTGTTTTATCGCCTCACAGCACCTTACCTACATTTGAATTTAATGTTATCTTATATTAATATAAATTCTCGCAAATAGCAGAGGCTAGTCTGTCACACCAGTTGTGTTTTTGAGTTCAGTTAAGAATTAAATAAAAAGATTATTTTAATCTTCCTTAGACTTCATGATTTTTTAAGAGACACTCGCTTCTAGGCTATTAGGACTTGCAGGACATCAACACAAAATTCTAGACACAGCAGAACCCTACAGTTTGAAATTGTTTCGTAAAATCGTAGGTTTAGTCTAAATAACGAAATAAAAATTTTGCATGAATGCATGAACTTGATTTATGCTACTACTCTGCGTTTATATTGTTACGAAATGTCCAGGCGCGGTAAGATGGCTTCCCCGCATAGCAGTTTTAGGTTTGCCTAAAATGGCAAGGGCAATATTTTGGCAATATTTGGCAATATTTGGCATTTTCGCCCATTTGGCAATATTTGGCGACAAAATTGTCGATACCGGTGTTTCGATACTTCATGAAGTGTCTTCGTTATTCACTCCAAATCCACACAAACCCCGTACGAACGTGAAGGAAGAAAATAACGTAACAACTGGTGTCAGAAAAGGAAAACGCAACAATATATAAGCAGAGCTACAGCATAGAACTGACGGAAGAATAAATTTTGCCAACAAAATGTGCTTTTCATACTTGCACTAAGAGAATGATTCATTATTTTATGAAATTATATTAATCCGATTAAAATTTATATTTACGAA